GTGTCCGAAAGTCTTCTGAAAATTCAAATTTTTTTAGAGGACGCTACAATGACGTCACAATCCAATGGAATGGGATTTCATAGAGACGAGGAGGTGTAATACGATAGGTATAACAGCAGGCTTCTTTATACGTATGATGCTTTTGAATTAGTCGTGAACGTTGTGTTTGTTAATCTATGTGACTACGTGTAGTTCGCGATTAACTGAAAGCTCTAAAATAAGGCCTTTGAAAATTTTGAATTATTTTAATAAATTATTTAATAAAATTCAAAATTTATTAAGTGACGATATGATTATAAAACAAAGTCAATTGAGAAACATTTTAATAAACAAAATTTAACAAAACAAAATTATGTCAGAAACTACCTTATTTGCAGTCTCCGGGCACCAGCTTAACAATGTCATGAGGGTTGGAATAAATTATATTATTATCGTCATCGAAAGTAAGACCAAAGATGTTTCTGATGTCGGCTATCTTTTTTAAGCTATGGTCTGTTTTATTAGCTATATAAATTGCATGTTGTCCACAGAAATGAGCAACTCCTTCATTGTTTACTTCAGCGCACCGAAAATGATTAGCTCCTGTTAATAAAATACGATCCGTGGTACCATTTCTTATTAAGTATAAACCAGTTTTGTTCGTTATGAAGGTATCTTCGTGAACATCTACAGCGTATAGATATATTTTTTCGTGAATGTGCTTTTGACGTATAACCTTCACTTGAGTATCTTCATTTAGACATTTATATAAACGCTGTTGAGGATAGCTAATAAAATGCAACTCCTTTTTAAAGAACATATCCCAAATATTAAAGCCGTTGACAATTTTTTTGGTTTCATTACCTTCCTTAAGTGACTCTTCGTATATGCCAAGACTGCCCCCGAAATAAATCTTATGATTGAGATTATCGATTGCTGTAGCGAAACCATTTTCAATATTTTCTTTGACTCTGTGTTCTAGTTGTCCGCTCTCGATATACCCTATATTGAATCGATCTTCCTCATCCTTTCCTACGTTGTAACTAAAATAAACTCTGTGTTGATATTTTTCATAAGACAATTGGTATGGACGATCGATATTTTCAGTTAAAATTTCCTTTCTATGAAATTTATTGTTTATATGGATTCCATCGCACTTTTCACCTATTATGTATTTAGAATAAACAAAAACAATAATACACGCTATGTTTAGTAACCGCATTTCGACGGAAAGAGTAAATAACTCGCTCTGCTTTATACGACGTGTTAGATGTGTATTCGCGAATGGTCTAGCTCATTGCCATGTTATGTTTTTCATACAATGACTCATATAATCTGCATGTAATTAATTAGGATCGATTTTGTGGGCGTATGTTCGATGTTAGGTATACTAACTGAACTAGCGACCACCCGCGTCTTCGCTCACGTGGAACTGGAAATTACTGCAATTTTGTTTCCCCAAGGGAACATACTTATTTTAGGATAGGTGTACCTTGCCATGTGTGCTAACGCAGTCTACCCGTGTACCCATAGACTTATTATATTACTACGCCTACTAACATGCAAAATTAGAAGTCTCTAATAATAGGTTTTTACATATGAAATTTCCGTTCTGCAGTACTGGCCATTTCAAATCAAAAAATTTTTTTTTTTGGCTAAGAATTCAAACTTCAAATTAATTTAATTTTATAAACAGGGCATTTTTTTTTCAATATTATTCATTTGTTTATTGATTAGCGTTATATTTTCATCGCATTTGAATCTTTTTCGTCATCATGGATACGCTAAGAGTTCGAGTTATTATGGAATATGAGTACCGTCGTGGCAGCAACGCGGCACAAGTGGCACGCAACATTAACGACGATTAGGGAGCAAATACTACAAACGAACGCACCACCTGTTGTTGGTTTTCCCGCTTCCGTCGTCGTTGGTCGTCCGATAACTTTGGTGGACAATGGCGAATTAAAGGCAATTGTGGAAGCTGATGATACTCACTCAATCTACGGCTGAATTAGCAGCAACTTTCGATGTTCGCATCAAAACAATATTGGTCCATTGGTGTCAAATTAGCAAGGTAAAAAAGCTTGATTTGTTAAGGGTGTCCCAGAATCCCAGGTGACAAATGAGCACACAGTCCACCTGATGGTAAGTGGTTGCTGTGGCCCATAGACATCTACATCTATCCTCGTTTGCGAATCAAAATGCAGATGCGTTGGCAGCCGTGAGGACTAAGATGGAATGCCTATCTTCCAGTAAAAAGGGTATCCGGTTCTCTACACTCACCATATGGAAGACAGCAGTTTGAAACTGCTATTTTACGCTGGTATTCTGTGAGAGCGTGTTCCTTCCCTGGTCGAGCCGACCCATTCGTGCTACAACTATACTACTAATATAGCTGCAGCATGGCTTTACCACGTAGAAAATGATCGCCAGCGCGAGGTACGTGTCGAGACGTGCCTTGCACCAACACATATTGAACCTTTAAGACTACCGTTCTTGATTATTGGGCTTTCGGGATTTCTACTTCTTTCTAGGATGCATATGTAAATAAATAACCTCAATCATCATAATATAATGCAAGGGTGGCTTCTTGATAACACTTTTACTCATTGCGGAGCTTCTATTATTTGGAATTAACTCCGCTTATCAACATAAATTCGCAGCAAACGTGGCAGGGCAGGCAGTCAACTTAACTCATAGTGTAAGCAAAAGTTTTCTGACCCCTACTATTCTTGTTACCGTGTTATTCTTATTTCTTTCATTAAGTTTTAATCACCAGTTGTATAAATACTCCTACTTCACGCTAGTGTTCTCAGAGAGATCCATCTATAATGCGTGATTTTACCACATAAATCTTGCTTGCCTGCAGGCGCAGTGTTTAGCAGTCATAGGCCTAATTCCAGCTGTGGACATAATAATATACGATGTTATACTGTTGATGATGAATGAGTTCCGTTTCATATTGACTTCGAAATATTAGTTCAATTATTTTTTTTCAATGTAGAAATTTTCAGTGTCTGAAGTTTAATTTTACCCCGTATCAAGGCAAAATGTACTAGGATATTAGCAGTCAACAGAGATTTACTTTCAGCGAAAGAGAAGGAAGTTTGTAATCTATCTCGCTTTCCTAGATGAGGGTGGCCCTCATCCTAACTTTACCCCATCCCTCTGTTCAATCAAATCCTCTTGCCGCTTGTTATTGAACCCCACTGTTTCGGAGCGAGACAGTCCGTCTGTTGCTTACGTCATCATCGTTGCAAGTAAATCAATATCAATTTTGTGAGATTATTTTATATAGCTGACATTATCAACTGTTCGAACTTCCACTAGAAAGTATTTTTAACAGTGAACAAAGAATGATTAATTAAATATCTCCTAGATTTGTAATAATTTTTCATTTAATCTTTAATATCAAACTGATCTCACTCCATCCGTTTATCAAAAATTTTTGTTTTTACAGTTTTTATGTAACTAAGTTGTTTCGCCCTTTATGTTGCACATTTACATCACAGAAAGACCTTATTTTGTATTCTTAATTTTACTAATCATGGAAAACTACTCGTATACGAAAGAATTATTTCGGTGTGCTTCAAACTCTCCTAAATTACAAACGTATCTATGCCAATATTTAGTTAGAAATTGGTAATCATTGATTACACATAATTCCCAGGCAAGTGCAATAAACGCTAAAATATTGACGTATATAAAGTACAATTTCCTCACTCACTATAAACAGAGACAAGGAAATGAAATGTGGAGATGCTACCAACTATACCTATATAGTTCATTGGCTCTAACGCGTGCTGCAAACAACCAAAGTGTGGGCGTCTCTTGCTGTAGTACAGATTTGTATTAGATTAAATTAGTAACAATCTCTCATTCCACATTGTTTTATTAAGTTTTCAGCGTATGTTGTTCTTATGCTTACGTTACTTTACGACAATCAATAAAGCATGGGGTCAGACGTTTCATGGTTATGTTCGGGCCGAGAGCTCCAGTGTAACTTGACTTTCATTAGCAAACCTCTATGTAGCACTCTACAAATCAATTGGCACTTTTAACTCACGAAACGCCCCAATAAATAAATGAAAACTACATTTGTTATTTTTATTGTCTTATTTAGTACCTAACCTATAATAGTAGGTTCTAAGTAAGGCTGTGGACGCTGCTATCGGAACTAAATTGAAATATTAACTTTAGATAACCTATAATTCGAAGATTCCAAGTATAGGAAGTGGAGAGCACAGACTTTTAGGACTTCAATAAAACTTCAAACTCGATGGGATGGTGATCTAATATCCAAAAACAGCATTTCTTACAAAATTTACGTTTATTGTAGAGTTTGTATTATTTGAAAACGATATTAAAATAATAAGTAGGTAGGTATGCTCCTAACCGATACCTAGTAGCGTCCTTAGTTCCTTTTTGGTTTTGCTGCCTTTTAACGTACATATCTACACGGTTCTCTACACTCACCATACGAAACACAACAGCATTAAGCTGTTATTTTACGCTGGTATTCTGTGAGACCGTGGTCCTTACCCGGTCGAGCCGACCCATTCGTGCTACAACTATATAATTAATATAGCTGCAGCATGGTTCTACCACGTATAAAAAATACCACGTGTAAATATAAATAACTAAACAGAGGTCAACGACATATTTAGTAGGAAATGTGAGACCATCGCGAATTTGTCCACAGAGGTCGTTTTAACTAGGGGTACATAAATAAAAGGACATCCGAGTAACGAGGGGACGATACAGTGGAGGGGTGGCAAAGGGGTATCGAAGGGGAATAGCCGAGGTGTTTCTTTACATTTCTGTGCTCCTAGTATTATGTTAAATCCGTGAAATATTTTTGCTATTGAAAAATGTCAGGGACACTGACTGACTGACTGAGTAAATTAAATTTTAAGAGTTTTAAAACTTTATTAATTATTCGGGATAGGTACAATTATTAAAACTGACATACAATAATTATAAATACATTTAAATGACTTGAGTGTTAAGAATTTACTTGTTTAAACTTCACATGCACCTGTCGATGACACTGTCACAGTACCTCTTACATATGTAACACCGTCTTTGCAATCACACGCATCCTGAAATTAGAAATCAAATTTTAGCAACTTTAATTATTTTAATTCAATTATGTCTTAATTTTTTTAACATTTTGCTATCAAAACTTCAGTTAATAAATCCTGTATACCGTAAAGAACTTGTTCCTAAAGAAACTGTATCCGCGACTCTTCGTCGCCGCAGAGGACTAGTTATTTTCAGCCAAAGGTTATTTTAAACGATTTATTAATATACAAATAAACTATAAAAATTAAAACATTATATGAAAAAAGAGAAGTTGTTAATTAACTGGTAAAGTTTTTACATCTTCTTCTTCTTCTTTATCAATCAATAGAAGCCCACTACTGGATAAGAGCCTCTCAAGTTGTAGGAGTATTTGCTCTAATTGTCACGCTTCGTACTTCGTGGGCGTATTGACATTCACAGTACCAGACTTATCTATCGCACCACGCGTCTCCGCGTCGCCTGGTACTGGTATGACGTCACTACTCTCTAATATATATACAATAATCTATGGTCATTACTTTTTTACGTACTATGTGCTAGTATTTATTACGTTACCGCCGCGGCTGTAGAGTGACCCAAGGGCCAATTTAAAGCACTTATATTATAACTAGCTGACCCGGCGAACTTCGTACCGCCTAACAGTCAATTCTTTAATTTTTTTAATACTTATTCTGATATTCGGGACACGGGGTCAGCTAGTAAGATAAAAAAGAAAAAAAGAAAGTTGATAAGTCAACAATTACATTATGTCAAAAAATATATAATTGTTTTACCTTCCCGGAACCCCTCCACTAACACTTAAACTTTATGGTATGGTATTAAAGTTCAAATTAAATTTATAGTATTATTACGAATCTTTTGTATGGGAATATAGAAAAGTGTTGTTTTTATACTTTTTCGGGCATTTTTTTAAAATTTTCTCTCCGCAAGAACCATCTTCGTACTTCAAGGAATATTATAAAAAAAGAATTAGCGAAATCGGTTCAGCTGCTCGCGAAATTTGCGCTTAGCAACACATTCATCGATTTATTTTTATATTATAGATTCAATTAATAGAATCAGGCGTTAGTTTGCGGAAATTCATTATAATGGGGTTGTTATAAACTAATTTGCTCAATTCCGCGTAAAGAAAGAAAATGATGTGTCCTGCTCAGTTTAAGGGGACCTCCCATACTCCCTCAATCGCGCGCACTATACCCGTCGCCGTGAATCCTAACACTACCACTCCCAGCATCACTACACTAGGCACGACACACTACTCTCGAAAATACGACACGTGTTTCGCCTCTACACGAGGCATCCTCAGGTGAAGTAGACTCTGCGGAGGCTGGCCGCTAAGCGCTAGCTATTAGTCTACTAGTCTACACGTGTCGTATTTTCGAGAGTGGTGTGTCGTGCCTAGTGTGGTGGTGCTGGGAGTGGTAGTGTTGGGATTCACGGCGACGGGTATAGTTCGCGCGATTGAGGGAGGGTGGGAGGTCCCCTTAAAACTGGTCAGGACACATAATTTTCTTTCTTTACGCGGAATCGAGAAAATTAGTTTATAACAACCCCACTTATATTATACTTGATAATATGTGCATTCGTATTTTCTGCCGACTTCCAAAAAGGAGACGGTACTCAATTCGACTGTATTTCTTTTGTTTTTTTTTTTATGTGTGTTACCTCATAACTTTTTACTGGGTGAACCTATTTCGATGATTCTTTTTTGTTTGAAAGCTGGTACTTCTTGTGTGGTCCCATATAAATTTTATCAAGGTCAGACCAACAGTTTTTGAGTTATTCTTAATAACTTATATTGAAGTCGACTTCACAAAATTTTAAATTATTAATAAAGTTAATATTATAATAATTCTTCGAGCTGACCCATTCGCGCTGCATCCATAATATAAAATTACAGCGTGATTTTACCACGTAGAAATAGTAATAGTGCAATAACTTAACATTTGGATTTAGTCATAAAATAGTCTAATTAAATATACAGAAACAAAGAACAACACGTCTTCTTACTAACATCTCCTATAATTACATGGCGACTCTGTAACACGACTTTTGTGTTAAGTTAAAGGATCAAGCAAATTAAAATCGTTACAGAATACATGTCTCCCTTTTTTCACCAATTTCTTAGAAACTTACTGAGCGTTTGGTTTACACTAGACTGGTTTTATGTACTCCCAACGATATGCAGATGAATGCCGAGCGTAGCCTTCGCAATGAGTCGGCAAGTGAATTTGCCATCACTTCCACGGCTAATATAAAATTGTAGTCCTTATATAAATATATATTTCAGTCTATTATGTAGTATTAATAGTATATCTTTTTAACAAAAATTTAAATAGTAATAACTAATATTTATTAGTCGATTTGAATAGACGGCTTAAGTAATAAATTATGTGAAGTAAGCAGTTGCAAAATAAACGTCTTATTCAAATCGTAATCTGCTTATTGACTAACCAACAGTAAGCGTTAACTTAATTTTAGTAGCAAAAGTAGTCTAATATATACTCACAAAAATATCTTCACGAGATGTACATGCTGCATTGTTTTCGTAGAACTGGACTTTTTGCAAATTATGCTTAATTATCTCATCAGAATTTCTTCTATCTTCGTCAATTGTCATCAACTTCGCTACCAAACCCTTGTGATTATTTTTAACTATCAAATTGTCCGAATTAATGTTTTGCATTACAACTGGGCTTCCAAATATAGCGTTTTCTAGATATGCACAGTAACTATCCTCTGCCCCTGCTTGTCCACAGTTTTGATGAATATTGTTATTATTTAGTTTTATATCAATGGCGGCATTCTTACTATTTTTATCTACATTGTTCCAAGTGTTTTTATCATTCTTGTTGTCTTCGAGGTAGTTTTGGTACAACTCTCCATTAGATCTAAGCTTGTTTTTAGATTTACGAAATCTCCGTAATTTGATATAAATATTAGTTAAATACTGAAATTTGAGAATGTTCGTCATGACCTCTTTTACGGTAGCCCAGCCACTTTTCTTCTGTTTTATGTGTTTTAGACAGACATGTTTTGGTGGCGAAGTGCCGCATGAACTGTAACCTATGTAAAAAAGTTGTGATTAATTAGGATAAATTATTTATATTAGCCATTATTCTAAAGTGGTAGGCTTGTACGAGAAGCTCTTTCATCACATCATCTCTGGTAGTAAATACTTGAGTCGTACAGAAAGAACCAATGGATGCAGGTGACTCAAGACCGGTTGTTGTGGTAACATTTGGGAGAGTCATTTGTTCAGCAGGAATAAAACTAAAATAACAGACAATATATGTCCCACGGCTGTGCAATGGCCTCTTCTGATTTCTGAGCTTTCGTAGCAAGTAATTGTACGCCGCAAAGCCCTAATACTTTTTGGTGGAGTTCACATGACATTACATCAAGCGCTTCCCTGAGTTATTACGGATCTCAGCAGCGTAATGATGGTGAAATATTAGTGGTGGTTAATTTTAAATATAAATATACAAACACACGCGCGCACGCACGCACGTATGCACGCACGCACGCACGTACCACGCGCATGCACACGCACACACACACACTTGCATAAAATACAGGTGTATGTTTCGCCATGCTATAAGACTAGAATATGCACTATGTGAACGCAAGAAATTGAAATAACCACTTTTATTATTCTGCCACCACGGTGTGAGTGGCAAGTGTTCTGCTACGCAACTAAAAGGAGCGTTTGTTTACAGCAGAAATAGTTACATTCCGTTTTTAATGTTACAAGACCTCTTTCTTGTCACATTGAACACTCGCAGCTACTTACGCCGGTAAGTAGCTGCGAGTGTTCAATGTGACAAGAAAGAGCCGTTACGGGTATGACATAAGTTATTACATACCGTTCTTGTTTTTTTTATAGAATAAGGGTGGCAAACGAGCACACAATCCACATCATTGTGAGTGGATGCTGTGGCCCATAGACATCTACATTTACCCTCAATTAAGAATTAAAATGCAGATGCACTGTCACCCTTGAAGACTAAGATGAAATGCCTCGTTTTCAGTAAAAGGGGTCTCCTGTTCTCAACACTCACCATAAGAAAGAAACGTAGCAGCATTAAGCTCCTATTTTACGCTGGTACTCTGTGACAGCGTGGTCCTTCCCCTGTCGAGCCGACCTCTTCGTGCTACAACCATAATATAGTTGCAGCGTGGCTCTACCACGTATAATTGCACGTTGCATACAATTGTTAATACTGCAAGAGTAAAGTACAAATGCGGCGACTCCACTATGCAACTAAAGGACGCGCTACGTGTATGATAAAAAAAAATGTTTTCAATACCGTTTTTGGTGCTGCAAGAACACGGCGTAAGTAGCGGCGATTGTTCCGTCACGTGATTAGGAGGAGCGCTACGTGAACGGCAGAAATTATTGCTGTTCCACGTCGTGTCGGTATATGGAATCGAATCTTCTAACGACTCCGCTTCAATCCATTTGGCCGACTCTCGCAGTGAGAAGAACATCAATGTTACGAGCGCCTGAAATTATTACAATATGTATAGTCAGTTCGGTGAGAGTTGATAAGAAAGCAGGGTTCCTAAACTCAATTTCAAATTGCTGATCGCTTATTATTTTTTGCCAGATTCAGCTTACTAATCCGTTGGGCTATGTCAGTTATTATGGTTCTACTGCGGATATCCTCATTTCTAAGTCCATCACGCAGAGAAACCGCGACATAGCGCTCTCCATAGCTCGCTGAGCGACCTTGAGCTTCCCCATAGGGCCACCAGTGAAAGACCATGTCCGACCGAAAGATTCTGGAGTGGTAAACTCGTACCGGTATGCGAAGTGTGGCACGATCCCCCGGACTAGATGAACTAGACTAGATGGAGTGCCGACCTGGTAAGATATCCTGTGAGTCGATGTGGTACGGGTGACTCAGCACTGTGCTTTATGGCATTCCTTGGAGGAGGCCTATGTTCATCAGTGGACTTGGCTGTAATTATAATGATGATGATGATGAATTATTTTTGACGATAGAATGCCACCGCGTCGGCCCGTCTACCCGATTTCACGCTTGACAACAGCTGCGAGCCTCCTACCACAAAAGGCGCCATAAGCGAAAGCCGTCACACAGATTTCGATACTTAAACGACAGTTGCTATTGCGAGACGTTTTCATAATATTTATAGACAAGGTATAGTCAAATATACCTATAAGTTCGAGTACCTTTATATAATATATTTAATAAACAACTAACCATTGTAAAGCAAGCAGCAGCGCATAGTGTAGCGCACAGTGGGAAACCGTAGCGCTGTGCGAGTGCACCCCCCAGGGCAGGGCCCAGCACCTCACCTAACGAATAGCAGCACGACCACACGCCAGCTACCGCGCTGTAAGTGGCCAATGCTTCTGGGCAACCACCTTCGTATCTATCAAGTTACAATTATTATTAGGTCTGACGCATCCTGTGAGAAGTTTTTGATATAAATACATACACCTGTTTCTAGTTGCGAGAAATTAGTATAAACTTTTACTTTTCAGGTGGCGATCGTGATACTAGATTTATCTGGCGTTTAAGATACTTCTTTTTTCTAATAATTTCTATAGATGACGTGTACGAAATCCATAGAAACAGACGCGTCTTTTGTTTAAGTTCTTTTGTCAGTCCGTAAAAGTCCATGATATAAAATGAGCGCCCTCCTATTGTAACGACAATTTTTCACTTATTTACTCTAATCCTTATCGAATCGTCATGCTTATCAAGAGTATTGACCATCGTAGTACGGATATCTCGCACCTTTAATGCTGTGGCCAGTCACCGATCTGCAGTGCGATGGAGTAATTTTGGTGTTAGTCGTGGTTGGTCTGTGACGTTTGACTTTTGAATAGCAGATCAAAGGCTGTACAACTTGTACTTCTATACGTGCTATAGCCACGCTGCAGCTATATTAGTAGTATAGTTGTAGCACGAATGGATCAGCTCGACCGGAGAAGGACCGTGCTCTCACAGAATAGCAGCGTAAAATTGCAGCTTAACACTGCTGTATTTCGTATGGTGAGTGTAGAGAACCGGATACCCTTTTTACTGGAAAAGAGGCATTCCATCTTAGTCCTCACGGGTGACAACGCATCTGCATCTTGATTCGCAAACGAGGATAGATGTAGATGTCTATGGGCCACAGCATTCGCCTTACAATCAGGTGGACTGTGTGCTCGTTTGTCACCCTGTCCTATAAAAAAGAAAAACAAATTCGACCCACGTCAGCACCACCGAAATCGTAAAATCTATTTTTTTTTTAATTTTAGATTAACTCATATTTAGTGAGGGTGTTTAAGAAAACTTTATTTCTGAGAAATTATAATATTGAAGATAAGGATATTTGAAGCCCACCAAGTTGAACTCAGAGCAGTGGCGGACTCTATTCTGCTCCATTACCCTCTCTGAAATTAGTGATATCTGTTTCTAGATACTCACATGGAACTTGTCAAGACTCCTTGGAAAGTAGGTAGCAGTGTAAGTGCTACTGATATTCCTAGTATAGAGAGAGCAACCAGGTCCAGCCACAGGTCCCTAAAACATATAATATGTGTATATAGTTGATAGTATTTAAACTGAAAAAGTGGGCTAATTAGAAAATTTGTTGTGACCGTTTAAATAATATTTGACAACATACTGAGATAGGCCAGGTATAAATGGGCAAGGACCGAGAAGTAGCAGTCCAACCGTCGAGAGAAATAATCCCCAAACCATCATACACCAATGGTTATGTACTCTGAAAATAAAAAAAGTTGATATCATTAAACAGTTGTAGTTAATAGCTATGCAACGTATAATGCTAAAAATGGAATATGGATTTTAGGTTCAAATTCGATTTTGCCCTTAATTTTAAATGATTCACAAAACATTTTAATTAATTATTTTTGGCGATATTTTATTTTTATAAATGATCACCCCGCGGTCTACTGGGGGATTACTGGGAGATACACTAGGGGTACAGAAAAAATAATAGTACTACATACTGGGGATAACTTAAACCGGACTATAGAATATGGATATATCACTTTAAAATAAAAATATTTTATACAAACCTACTAAATGTATTTTTATTAATATACATTATATTTATATACGTAAAGTATACGACGTTAATTTTAAAAGCGCTGTAAATAATTATGCCAAAATATTTTTGATAATCCTTGACAAATCAAACAATTAACTAAACGCTTACCTGTCAGCAACCCATCCCCATATTGGACTAAAAATTCCATACAGGCTAGAGAAGAGCAAAAAGATTAAGCCAATTTGGTTGGTGGATAGACCGAACTGTCGCAAATGAGGCTCCAGCGTTGGATCCAAAAAAGCCCATGTGTTGGAAACGATTACGATGACAAGGCCCGTTATGATAATCGATGGTATCTTGAATAAACTAAGTACTGATGCGGTTTTTGAGCCGGACACGTATTCTGGAAGTTTAATTTATAATGCTTTAATAGTAAATTGAAAACAAAAACTGTGTGCAATTTTGTATTACTGCTGAAGTCAGGCTTCCTATCTCTGGCGGGAGGGTTTCAAAAATCAAAAACAAGTCAGCTGCGATACTTCAATAGACTGATTTGTCCTCGAAATATTTATAATTCTTCAGACAGGCAGTTTACCTCACGATATTCTCCTTTATTTACCGTCGTGGTAAATTGACACTTATAATTTCTTATTACATACTTTTATCTACTTTTACGGATTACAGAAATGGAACCGTTACAGTTACAGCCTATTAAAGTCCACTGCTATACATACCCCCCCCCCCCCTATAGATTGCCTCATAGGGGGGAGATCTGTCATAGTTGCCACGCTTGGCAAGCGGGTTGGCAACCGTAGTTTTGGAACGAAGTTCCTTATCGGACGGTACGAATTTGGCGGATGGGGGCTAGGCGAGAAAAAGTGTAAGATTTTTCCGTCACGACCCTTTCTGACGTAGTGCAGACAGCCTTGGCGGCTATAAGGAAGCGAGATGGAATAATATCCATCTCTCTCACGCTTTTTTTATCTTGCCACAAAAGAAATATTATTTTATTTTAAATGACGCTTCATTTTAATAGACGCTAGTAATTCATTTATTTGTATTTGTTAATCAATAATATAATACATTTATCAATAATAATATACTAAGAAAGGAACGTTTATTAGTTGACGCTGACGTTGTGAGACGCTGCTCCCAATCTCCTGATTTGTTTTACTTTTACTAATAAATCCGTCTGGGTTGTCATATTTTTGCCTATTGGTGTCGTCAACGCTGCCAAGCACTGGTACAAATACTGCTGTGTACCAGGTTGAAGGTTACGAGAACTAGTACTGACTGTGAAAGATCTTATCTTAGTCCCCGTCGACAAACCTGTGGCCTTCTGTGTTTAAAATTGATGTTAAATAGCCATTTGCCACCAGGTGGACTGTTAGCTTTCTTGTTGTTATTTCAGTAAAAATATATTATCTGTACATTGACAATAAGTGTAACGATGTTTAACAGTCTTTAAACACATTAGACATGTAACCCAAGAATTACTAAACGGAGAATAATTACCAATAACCGTTCGTACGTGGTAGAGCCGTGCTGCAGCTATATTAGTAGTATAGTTGTAGCACGAATGGGTCGGCTCGACCGGGGAAGGACCACGCTCTCACAGAATACCAGCGTAAAATAGCATGATAACGCTGTTGTGTTTCGTATGGTGTGTGTAGATAACCGGAGACCCTTTTTACTGGAAACGAGGCATTCCATCTTAGACCTAAAAGGTGACAACGTATCTGCATTTTGATTCGTCATCGAGGATAGATGTAGATATCTATGGGCTACAGCAACCACTTACCATCAGGTGGACTGTGTGGTCGTTTGTCAACCTAATCCTATAAAAAAAAAGATTCGCCCAAACTCACTACGTTTGGCAAGGAAACTAGTAAGCGATGAGCCCTGTCGTTTGACGGGCGAAAGATAAACGCTAAAATAATTTATTTAGCGTTTACCTCCGCCAGCAGTAGATCATTAGCACGTTACACAGTGTACAGATGAGTTTGGCATTTACAAAACAGTTGGGTAGTGTAAAACGCTGCAGCTATATTATGGTTGTAGCACGAATGGGTCGACTCGACCGGGGTAGGACAACGCTCTCACAGAATACCTGCCTAAAATAACAGCTCAATGTTGCTGTGTTTCGTAAGGTGAATGTAGAGAACTGGAGACCATTTTTACTCCAAACGTGGCATTCTATCTTAGTTCTCAAGGGTGACAACGCATCTGCATTTTGATTCTTAATTGAGGATAAATGTAAATGTCTATGGGACCACAGCATCCGCTTACCATCACATGGATTGTGTGCTCGTTTGTTACCCTTATTCTATAAAAAAATAGATAAATATCTTGCACCCTTTTTTACTACTTATATTACAGTTAATTACTCTTTGTATAATAAGCGTCTATTGAGTGACCTTTGTTTGAGAATATGTGATACCACAATGTAATGCAATATTGCATATCGATATACGATATACTTATTTCTACAGTAACCACATTCGCCAAGCCATAATAACATAATCATGTATAATAAATCTACGATTAATATGATAAAAATTATACAACATCTTTTCATTTATTTATGACACCCGTATTTAAAGTTTGGATCAGTGTTCAGTACCAATGGTTTGCTTAAGGTTTTTTCTGTTGTTTTTGTTTTCACTGAGTGTTTCTACAAAATTACAAAAGTATCGAATATTCAAATTATTTTTGCATACATAGCTAATTTTGTACCCACTATGGCTTGAAACCTTTTTACGTATTTCAACATGGTAGAGCTATATTATGGTTGTAACGGGAATGGCTTGGCTCGACCGGGAAAGAACCACACACACACACACACACACAGAATACCAGTGGGAAAAAACAGCTCAATACTGGTGTGGGTAAGGTAAAGGTAAAATTCGGTAAAAAGGGAGTGCAGAGAATCGACGACCCTTTTTACTGAATACGAAGCTTTCCATCTTGGTCATCATGGGCGACAAAGCATCTACATTTTGATTTTCAATGAACACAATATGAGCATATGGCATAGTAGCCATTTACAATAAGATGGACTGTGTTCTCGTTTGCTACCCTTATTCTATAATAAATAACTACGCTACACACACATATAAATACGTACAACAAAGTTAAAGTTAGCGTGGTTTTATTGTCAATCTTTCAAACTATTGGCGAGGCCCGAGGCCCATATTCATCGGTAGACTTTAGGCTGGCTGTTAATGAAGAGTTAAAGAGGGATAATTATTTAAACATAAGTAGATCCTATATGAATACAGATAAAACATCGCCTTACCTTCACAATCTGATAGTAGGAAGAAGTTGATCGGTACAGACAACACCATAACTAAGCCGAGACTATAAAAGGGTAGACCAAATCCCCCGATCTACCTGAAACACGTATAACATTTTAATAATATTTTTAGCGAATTAAAAATGGAGGTTTTCAACTCGACTGTACTATGATCTTTTTTTGTATGTATGTAACGCAATATATTCGTCAATGGTGGACTGATTTTAATAATTTTATTCAGGTGTGGTGCCACTTAACTTTGGAGAAAAAAAATCGATCGAAATGGATCCATTCTATTTCCGTGTTCACTTAAAATTATTTTCATCATTATACAGTCTGTAAAAAATCCATTGCAGAGCATAGGCTTCACCTATAGATTGAGTTATAAGGGGGATATTTGCCATACTTGCAACCGAAGTTTTTTTTAATTTTCAGAGGTTAGGAAGACGCTGCTACTCATCTCCTGGTTTGTCTTCTTCGTTCGCCTCTTACGACACCCCCGAGACCGGAATATTATGAGAATGAAAAAGAATTCGTATACAAACAATTAATTTATATTACAATAAATTGTATTTTTTACGTGGTAGCCATGCTACAGCTATATTAGTAGTATAGTTGTAGCACGAATGGGTCGGCGCGACCGGGGAAGGACCACGCTCTCACAGAATACCAGCGTAAAATAGCAGCTCAACACTGCTGTGTTTCGTATGGTGAGTGTAGAGAATCGGAGACCCTTTTTACTGGAAAAGAGGCATTCCATCTTAGTCCTGACGGGTGACAATTTCTGAAACTTTTTCATAAATTTTACTTATTAAATTATTTATCATCATGCTTATCATTGGACCCCATCATAAGTTTGTCGTGAGAAATTGTACTTTCTCAAAGACCAGCAGCACGGTCTTGAACCAACTATATTGGCTCCGTACATCAAATCATACGTCATATCAAGTGATATCTAGTATAGTCGGCCCTTCCGACGATTTTAGACGATGGTCGTCGTTTTTGCCATTTTGTTTATTGATATCTCTGCTGAAGAAGACATAGAGTTGGGAATCGGTTAATTCTTTAAAGACGTTTTTCAAAGTTAAAGCTTTTCCTTCTAAAATTATAACATTCCGAAAAAACGGAAATCTTTAAGAGCAAGGTGAATGCTCCTGTTATTTTGAGGCTGAGTCTGCCGTGGCTGCTGTAAGTCTTGTCGTGCAAACTAGTCTCGGTTGTTTGATAGCTAGCTAAGAGTCACCGCTTGCAATTCTTGCCAGTAATACCTCCACTGTAATTAGTGTGAGTAAACAACTATTGCGACAAACGTTTTCGATTATCATACAGAATCCTCTTAATATCACAAGTTTTTTTTTTATAAACATAGGGTGACAAACGAGCACACAGTCCACCTGATGGTAAGTGGATGCTGTGACATCTACATTTATCCTCGATTAAGAATCAAAACGCAGATACGTCGTCACCCCTGTGGTCTAAGATGGAATGCTTCGTTTCCAGTAAAAAGGGTCTCCGGTTCACTACACTCGCCATACGAAACACAGTAGCATTAAGCTGCTATTTGACGCTGGTATTCAATATAATTCGATTCAGAACCCCTCATTTGTGGGGTAACAAAATATAGTAGCTACTATCAGAAATTCTTTATGGTTCTGTGTGATTTTTTATTTAATATTATTGTATACCGTTACCGTAATATTCTATTAAAGTCCACTGCTGAATAAAGGCCTCCCCCATAGATTTCCTCATAGGGGGGATATTTGCCATATTTGCCACGCTTGGCAAGCGTGTTGGCAACCGCAGTGTTTTATTTTTAGTAGTTATTAGGAAGATGCTGATGCTCATCTCCTGATTTGTTTCCCTCTCTCATTGTTGAATAATCAGGAATTAATATTGCAATTTAAGATTTCATTAGTGCCAGCGAGGATCGAATGCGGGTCGCTCGCTTACTGTGAATTTTACGGCATTCACTCACGACGTTTAAGGTAAATACCGTGAGGAGACTTGAATATCTAAGGAATAATATATTTTGAGAACTTGTGAATTGGGTAAATACGCTTTGGAACAGCGCAGTGAACTAATTGCTTATAGAACACCCATAGGTAAAGACTATGTCCAAGAGTGTAAACTGTAATCTTAGATTACACTACTTTTAAAGTTGATATTAAATAATTACTTCATACCGAATACAGTAGTCCACCAATAGCTGGCCCCACGGACATTCCAAGGCCAACAAAAGTCTCGAGTATGCCAAGAACAGTGCCAATTGTGTCGGGAAACGCGTTTACGACAAAAACATAGCTGGCGGTCGAATAGGCACTTGCACCGAGAGCCTCCATTCCTCGTACCAAAAAGCACAAAATTGTGAAGGTTAAATTGTCTTCTACCATTACTAGTGTTCTGAAAATGAAGGAGGATTTTAATTGAGATTAGCATATTACTCTACGAATTTTTAATTTCGGTAGAGCAAAGCAAAACATAAATGAATAACAAATATTTCATTTACATTTAGGTAAAAGTGGAAAGAGCTTCTTCACTGTGATTTTGGCAATAATTAAGGATAATTAATAATGGTAAAGACTTTTTTCTACCATCACATTTGGTGTTTTTTTTTTTATAGTATAAAGTTTACAAACGAGCACACAGTCCACCTCATGGTAAGTGATTACTGTTGCCATAGATATCAACATCTATCGTCGATTACGTGGTAGAGCCATGCTGCAGCTATATTATGGTTGTAGCACGAATGGGTTGGCTCGAACGGGGAAGGACCACGCTCTAACAGAATAGCAGCGTAAAATAGCAGCTTAACGCTGCTGTGTTTCGTATGGTGAGTGTAGAGAACCGGAGACCCTTTTTACTGGCAAAGAGGCATTCCATCTTAGTCCTCATGGGTGACAACGCATCTGCATCTTGAGTCTTTATTGAGGATAGATGTAGATGTCTATGGGTCACAGTAACCACTTACCATCAGGTGGACTGTGTGCTCGTTTGTCACCCGATCCTATAAAAAAAAATGGAGATGCGTTGTCACTCGTGTGAGTACTAAGATGGAATGCCTTGTTTCCAGTAAAAAAAGTCTCCGGTTCTCTATACTCATTATAGGAAACACAGCAGCGTTAAGCTGCTATTTTACGCTGGTATGTGAGAGCGTGGTCGAACCGCATGGCTCTACCACGTAAACGTCGTGTTCTGAGCGGTGTACTATAAGTCAACTTAGTAAAATCATATGATTTTTTTTTGACTATTACTAGTAGTCCTATTAAGAACTGATCATGGTGATGATGATGAAGTTTTACCGATATATGTTAAGAATAAGCTGAGTTCGCATAAACTAGAGGCACCTTATTTATATCGTTTGCGTGGTTAACAACTATCGACATCGTTTAGTAATTGTCCCAGTGGCCTTAATCGGCTAGAAGAATATTATTATCATCATCACATACACTTGATTTGAATCCTAGGTATCTAAAGAGTCATGTTTTCTTAGTAGAACCACGAGGCAGAATATTATGGTCGCAGCACGATCGGGTCAGCTCGACCGAGGAAGGATCTCGCTCGCGATGTTCGGTATGGCGAGTTATTTTCTCTTATTTTTTTATCAGCCGTTACAACTGGGTGACAGCCCATCTACATTTTGATTCTTAATTGAGTAAAATATACATACAATATGTAGTTACATAATGTATTTATGCTCATAAAAATAGAATACCAAGGTCGCGATGAACATATGTTAGTAGGATTATATAAAAGACGCCATCTAGGTGTCATAAGCACTCGAAAGGGAGGTGAATGGCATTTATGACGTGTTGTAACGTAATCTACTTATGTTGCAGGGTAAGATTGAATTACAGCGTACCTAACTATAGTAACTGCTTTTGTAAAAGTTGTTTGCCGCTAAATAATAGATAATAATAGATAACAACTTAGTTTAACTTAGTGCCTACTTGAATTAATTATGATTTACAAAATAATATAATACATCTAACCCTATCCTACCTTTATATTAAGTTAATAACGATTTTCTATAGCCATAAAATATTAATGTGGTGAGATTAATAAAAATGAGAAACAAAAGGGGTAAAAGAATACCGTCTTGAGAGACTCGGTTAATGAATCTTACTTACACCGTTTTAAGACTATAACTGTGCGTACTGGCTACAATTGTATAATTGTATAATTGTGGCCAGCAATTACCTTTATAAACGTTTTCGGCTCAAACCTCCCGACGTTTCAAAGGAATTGTCACAAATATGAACATCGGTTTAAGAACGCTTTGTTTTTATAATATTTCTGAAGCTGATGCAGCCATTCAGCTAGCTGAAACGTTTTTGGAGCTCATGTTAAATTGTTTAAAAGCACTGGGACAGTTTGGCGATTTATTTCCTTTCGTTTTATGGTCTTAATAATGCGAGGTACAACTTACCCAAATAAAACATTACAGGCTCCGGCGACGAACATACCCGCGATGAACATAAATTTCGCACCCATTATCGGTAACTGAAAATAAATTTAATTATTTCTTGGGTTTAATTGGAAATAAAACATCTGATATTAGATATTACGTATCATTACGTAAGTATTCTTATTTAATGGGTGCAATGAGCATGCATCATTTACTTAGTAAAATTTCCGGCCGCTTTTATAAAATCAATATATAAATTTATATTAAAATTTATGAACGTATATCTAGCAATACTTCAATAAATAATACAGATAGCGTTTAAATATATTGCAATGACAAAGCGCCCAGCTAAATATGAAGGAACGATACCAACAGCTCTAAATACAATAATATTATTTTCGGAATATTCCGCCGCAATGTCAATTTGCAGATAGATTGGTCTAGATACACTTTAGCCCTTTGTATTGTATATAGTGACTCACCAGCGCCAATAAATCAAATACAAAACAACTGTCCAGTACTGGACAAGGGCTTTTCTCATTGTGGGAAAGATTTACCGCAATCAGTGCACTGCAATAGAATAAATAATATTTGGCACTGCGAAGGCGGATAAGCGACAACAGTACCAAATATCTTATACCCTTCATGGTGCTCCACGTCACCGATCTGGTTATTTTACATCTACTATATACGTGATGGTATATCTAATCTTTCTGGCCTTTCTTAGAGCCCCCTCTTATGACACACAATGACAAGGAATGGGAAGGAAATCGTTTATTGTAGCTTCATCTATCTATTTTGTCCACGGATATCTACAAGTGGGGACCTGGTGACCTAACATACAGGTTTTACCTAGTTTAGGCACCAGTTTTTCACCTAACAATAGTATTGTTTCAGATGTAAGCATATATTTTTTGTTGCTCTTTTAATGTACATTGTTGGTGGATGTAAATAAATTAATAAGTAAAATAAATAAAAAACATACTTTTACTAACTTTTTTGTAAACCGTGTTAGTAACACAGTGACTTGCACACACATATAAATTTTAAAGTACTTCGTCATCGTCATCATTACAGCCCTTCAGAAGTCCACTGCTGAACATAAGCCTCCCCCAAGGAATGCCACAAAGCACGCTCCTCAGCCACCTGCATCCATCGACTTCCTGTATGTCTTACCAGGACGTCACTCCATCTAGTGGGGAGTCGCCCTACACTTCACCTACTTATACGATGCTGCCACTCGAGAACCTTTTTTCCTCCCATCGGTTGTCGGTTCTTCGAGCTATATGGCCGGTTCATTTCCACTTCAGTTTACTAATCCGTTGGGCTATGTCGGTTACTCTGGTTCTACTGCGGATATCCTCATTTCTAAGTTTATCAGGCAGAGAAAGTCCGATCATAGCCCTCTCCATAGCTCGCTAAGCGATCTTAAACTTCCTTCTACGGCCAGCAGTGAAGGACCACATCTCAGATCCATAAGTCAACACTGGTAAATGGCAACACGCACTGGTTGTACACTTTCGTCTTCAAGTTTTGAGGTATACCTGACGAGAAGATCTGTCTTAATTTCCCGAACGCTGCCCAGCTGAGTTGAATCCATCGATTGCCATCTCGGTCGAAGTTGGACTTACCTAGTTGGACTATTTGTCCCAGGTAAACATCCTCGTCAACAACTTCGAGCTTAGTGCTCCCAACTACTACCGGCATAGGTACGTGGACGTTACACATTATCTTTTGTCCATGTTCATCTTAACCTATCCGTTGGGAGGCACTATTGAGCTCATTGAGCATAGTGCTTAGGTCCTCCAGCGATTCTGCCATAAGGACTATATCATCGGCAAATCGAAGGTGAGCGATGTACCTACTCGCCATTTATGTTAACACCGTATAAATAAATTATAATTATTCGTCCTGTTAACAGATCATTAGTCACTTTCATATAAATACGATATATGAAACTGACTGTTTGATTCTTTTCAGAAATTTAAAAACCACAATGATTTCTTATATATGTATTTACGTGAACACTACACATTCAAATAAAACTAGTTTTTATGGATTTTATCGCGTATATTAACTTATTTTATTTTATGGTCACGGGGGTGACTGAGGTGTTCGACGCTTATTATTTAACTAGATGGTCAGGCAGACGTTGTTCTGCCCTTTTCGACGAGCCTTCATATAAAAAAAAATCCATAAATTCGTAAGTAAAAAATATTGAGCATCACTTATCAGGATAAAAACTATGCTATCTCTCAAGTTGGACCAAACTGCACACAGTGTGCAAAATTTCATTGATATCAGTTCAGTAGTTTAGGAGTACATCGCGGTCAAACAACGTGACACGTAATTTTTATATATAAAGATTATTATTTAATTTTATTAATATATATATATATATGCAATGAAATCCGTAAAAACTATTTTTTTAAAAAACCACGTATAATTGGACTGCTATAAAATGGTAAGGGGATTACGGTGCTCGTATAGGCTTATGTTTCTATTCATTAGGTAATGCAGAAAATGGCTTCCTCGCGGAGTATCTAAATACGATTGTCGTGTGGATTAAATATATTTAAAACCATTTTCGTTTATATTGACATAACATTTTATCATTTAATATTAATGACATAAAGTTCTCCAGGATGATTACTATCACAGCAACAATATTTAGATATTATTGGGATTACGTTGCGCAGAACCAACGTAATCTCGGGAACACTAAGGTATACCAATACCAAATACCTGTAGAACAATCCTGTTTTAAAAAAAATTGTTTTGGGCTCTGGTTGTGATTCGAACTATAATTCGCGGACATAGTATAACCTATATTTTGACAGTCAATATTAGGACAGAATATACAAAAACGCGTCAAAATTTCGATGCAGGTGAAAGTGTAAACCTATTACTTAAAGGTGTCCCAATACTGTTTATATAATGCATGCAGAAATAAAACGTACTTACGAATTTCCCAAACAGTGGGGAAGTTAGAAACATCACAATAGCGTAGAAACTGAACACCATTCCGCACATGGTGTCGGACAGTCCCTTTTCGTTAGCCTCTCTCGGGAAGAAAGGTGCCATGATACTCATGGAGCAAAAGCTCATGAAGTCAACGAGCGCTAGTGATGCTAGTGTCAGCCGCTGATGACGAGACAAATGTCGCACCGCGCCAGGTCTGGGTCTTGTTTGTGTCCTTACTAATCTGTGTAACGGAATATTTTTAAATTTCGATTACTACTTGAGTAAATGTAGCCTTAAATTATTATTTTCATTACTTAGAGTCACAGTGTTTGATGCCCATGAGCACTATTATTTATTCTGTGCCGTGAGATAGTACATGGCCAGTGCAGCCCAGAATAGCTACAGCGAACTCAAGCAAGTTATGAGATCGTTACCCAAAGGCGCCTTTTACGACGTGCACGAGGCAAAATAGGGTGATGAATTCTTTTACGTCGTCATTAGACGTCAAAATAATGAGGCCTTACTTTATATAACGCACCCGAAGACCATTTTTTTAATTTAAAATTGTCTAATTCATGATACACCAATAATCTTCTAAAATTGATTGTATTATCAATGATATCGTAAAGTATATCGAATATATCATAAGCTATGGTTCTTGCCATAAGTTGTGGGTAAGAACATTCAACTCGGGTGGAAGTTACAACTTTCTAAAAATTATGTAACCGAAATAAAAATAATATTTTACATAATTTAGTCGCCCGGTATGAGATATCCCGAATTCTGAAAAAAGTAGTTAAAAAGATGGCACCATCAGTCTAGAAGTAAAGCTCAACATTATCTTATCACATCCTATATAAATAGTTAAATCCAGGACCAGGCTGCCGGTGCACTGACCTCTTGACGTTATCGTTTGATTGTATAATTTATTAAATATTAATTATCATAAATTATACATATATCAGAAATACTTGCATTAAAGGCAAATTATTAAATACCCACATAACACAAACTTAAACTAAAATAGACAAATATAATAATACCCAGGTTGTTAAAATTAAAAATGAAGTTCTTTGAATTAAAAATAAACCAGCGTTGTCCAAGAATCGTGATTAAAACTTTTTTACTTTAAATCTATAAGATTCTAAATTCTAAAACTTTATGAAACTCTGTTGTCAGATTTTCAATTGTTTTAACATTCATTATTTGAAATCAGCAAGGAGACTTGAAAAATTACAGTAATTTTCGAATACGACTTCTGACGCAGCAAAGAGAGCTCGCAATATCAATGCTGCGTTTGGAGAGGATACGACACTAGAAGACCTTCAGTTGGAAAAGAACTTAGAGTTAGAAAACATACTCGCTGCACTCGCCAGATCTAGCCTCAATCGATTACCATACCAATACTTAGAATTACTACCATTCCGTTTTGCGTAATTTTAATAATTTCTTGCTAGGCAAGTAACTAGAGGGTTTTCGGGCAAGATGTTTGCCGCACTGCCCCAATGCGTGCTGGCGGACTTCATATGTCTTCGATATTTCTTTTTATTTCTTATACACGTAGTTTCCTCACGATGTTAAATCAGTAGCAGTTAGGGTTGCTCGCGTACTGTGAAATTTACCGTGAGCACTAAGCCCCTGAGCTACCCCGACTCTTAACTATCTCAGAAGTGAGAGGAGGCCTGTGCCCAGCAGTGGGACGTATATAGGCTGTAACTTTACTTTACTTTATACCTATATTTACTGCAATGTGACATGACCTGGGGGAGGTCTATGTTCAGCAGTGAACTTGTAATGGGGATATAATGATAGCAGGTTTGCGAAAATCGCTATTATTTATTGCCGACTCGGTAGTGCAGTGGATAGAGTTTAAGTTGCGGCACTGCCGGGTCTAGAGTGCGAAAGCCGCACGGCGCTAAGAAGTTTGTATGTCCTAAAATAATTGTTCCGGGTCTTGATTAATTGTCATTGTTCAATTAATGAATGTAAAATGCCTCCATGACACTGAAGAAAATGATACCGTGTGGGTAACGTTTTTATTTTTTTTTATAGAATAAGGGTGACAAACGAGCACACAGTCCACCTGATGGTAAGTGGATACTGTGCATATTATTACTGCACAATTAAGTATCAAATTGCAGATGCGTTATCGTCCCTTAAGAGTGTACAATTAAGTATCAAAATGCAGATGCGTTATCATCCCTGAAAACTGCACAATTAAGTATTAAATTGCAGATGCGTTATCGTCCCTTAAGAGTGTACAATTAAGTATCAAAATGCAGATGCGTTATCATCCCTGAAAATTGCACAATTAAGTATCAAATTGCAGATGCGTTATCATCCCTGAAGACTGCACAATTAAGTATCAAATTGCAGATGCGTTATCATCCCTGAAGACTGCACAATTAAGTATCAAATTGCAGATGCGTTATCATCCCTGAAGAAGTGTGTCTCGTTTCCAGTAAAAAGGAAAACAGCGGCATTAAGCTGCTATTTCACGCTGGTATTCTGTGAGAGAGTGGTCCTTCCCGGTCTAGCTCTATCATGATTTTTTTTTTGTATTTCCAATTCAAAATTAAGTCAATAACGTGCAATGAATAGCTCTTCTCTAAACTAATGCGCTTCAACGTTCCCAGTAACAATCGTCATCATTTCATTACGACATCATAAGTTCATTGTCGAAAATAGGCCACCATCAAGAGTGTCATAAGGGGCAGTCCTGAGCCACCTGCATCCATCGACTTCTGCATCACTTGGCTTACTTTACTCACGGCCCATTGCCGCTTCAGCTTACTGATCCGTTGGGCTATGTCGGTTTATCTGGTTGTACTGCAGATATCCTAATTACGAAGTCTACCACGCAAAGAAACTCCTCCATAATAAATATGCACCTCTTCATGGCTCGCTTAGCCACCGAAGCTTCCTTATACGGCTAGCGATGAAAGATCATGTTTCAGAATATCTCATCACTGGCAATACGCACTGGGTGTTCACTCTTGTTTTCAAGTTTTGAAGTATACGTGTCTAGAAGATGTATCGTCATCTCCCGAACGCTGTCCACCTTAGCTGAATCCGTCGATTGAAATCTCGGTCGAAGATGGATATATTTATCTAAATTAAAAAATTAAAAATGCGATCTTGAAATATAGGCCTAACCACTGAGTAAATTTTTTTATTAGTATATTTTATATATAATATTCCCATTTTACAATGGTATAGTTAATATTTATGTAAATTGATTAGAACACTTTTTACAACACTTTATCATTAATCGCCGATAAATAGATACTTCAAGTAGAGTCACTTGAAGCACACTAATCATTATATTATTGTAACCGCATGAATGTAATTTGAGTAAAAAACGTAATCTTTTGAATTAAAAATAGGTACTAATCTCTTAAAATTTCGTTTTATTTGTCCCTTGGGTAAAGGTAAGATACTTACCTACCTTCTTTACATTTAAAAATACATAATTAGCATTTCCTGATGAATGATTTCTAATTGTAATTGAGTAAAGAGTACATACCTTTCCCTCAATATACGAATTTCAGATGTACCATCTTCGGGTGATCCTCCAGACCAAGAATGAGCCCGAGCCCGACGCAATCTACCCGAATCAGGCAGAGAGCATCGGCCACCCCACGTGGCCGCCAATTCCTCGGCATGTGTAGAAGTCTTCATTAACTTACTATCGAAAACTATTGTCTCAATTGATGATGTCATTGCATCACCTGCACTATTAGAATTATTATCATCAACGCTAGTCCTCACTTCACCTGGATTACTTTCTGGTAACAGTTTCAGGCTTTTGTCGTTGTCGTCACAGCTATTCATAACGTAGAGTTAATTTTATAATTATGTACGAAATATTCTAAAGTAATCAATATTAAGTATGTAGATTGTACAAAATCTCACTTCCTCGGTAACGACGGTTATAACAAATTGTAAACAAATAGGTTCATTATCGGCGTGTCATTACACCGAGTGGCGGCTCCCGACTACTCAACTGTGCACCGACCTACCTACCTCCCGTATCAATTATTATCCATATCTTATCGGGTGTAAATTAGTGTAAGTAAATAAAAACTTCCGAAGGGATAGCACTTGTTTATGTCCAGGATTTGATTTAATTCTAAATTACAATAATTTATATACTTAATTTAAATATGGAAGTTGTATTTAAAGATGTAATGAATAGGTGCATATTTTATATTAATAATTAATAACATTTAAAAGAACATAATATTGTACAAATAAAAAGTTGAAATTAGGTAACGTTAACTCGTATTAGGCCCTGTACGCCTCTACAATCAATCGCATTAAAGTCAATAACGTAAGCATATTAGTTAATAGGTCGTACATACTATCTTAAAAATATTACTTGTGTTCACAAAGGTGATCTATTTAGGTATTTTGTTGATTAATTGTATGGGAAAGCTAAGAAGGAAAATTTATGTTCATACACAATTTAATTAGATGTAGCAAGTATTATAATAGTCATTTACCTTTAAAAATTGCCTTTCAAATCAAAATAATTTATGTTTGGTTAAGAATTCCAATTTCAAATTAACTTTATTTTAAAAACTTGGAATTCTTTTTTCAAAATTATTCATTTGTTTATTGATTACCGTTACGTTATGCTTTCATCGCATTTGAATCTTTTTCGTGGATACGTTAAAAATACTCGATTTTATTTAAATTATGGAATATATATATAGGCATAGGCAGCAATGCGGTAAAAGCAGCATGCAATATCAACTACGTTTACGGAGCGAATACTACAAACGAACGCACCAACTGTTATTGGTTTGCCCGCTTTCATTCTGGAAATTTCAACGTGAAAAATGAACCCCATGATCGTCACAAAACTTTGGTCGACAGTGACGAATTAAAGGCGATATGGAAGCTGATGATACTCACTCAATCTACGGCTGAAATAGCAGCAACTTTCGACGTTAGCATCAAAACAATATTGGTCCTTGGCGTCAATTTGGCAAGGTAAAAAAGCTTGACAAATGGGTGTTCCACAAACTCAATGATCGCCAGCGCGAAGTACGCGTCTAGACGTGCCTTGCACTGCTCAACTGGCACACAAACGAAGGAATTTTGAACCGCATTGTTACCTGCGACGAAAAATGGATTCGGCTTGACAACCTCAAGCACTCAGCAAGTTGATTGGTTTCTGGTTCAGCACTTAAACGAAAATTTACCCCTAGAAAAGTGATGGTCACTGTTTGGTGGTCTAACGCGCCAGTGTTCTTCACAGTTTCTTACCAAACGGGATGAGCATTACTGCAGATGTGTACTGTAAAGAACTGAACACAATGATGGAGAAGCTTGCACGTCTTCAATCAGCTTATACAATCGCTCGTCCCCGCTGCTCCTGCACGACAACGCGTGACCTCAAGAGACTATCTCCAAGTTACAAGAACTGGGATTGGAAGCTCTCTGTCATCCGACGTACTCACCAGAACGTGCGCCTACAGAATTTCACTTTTTTCAGAATTTGGATAACTTTTCGGCGGAAAAAAGAATTCAATACCCGAGAGGTAGTACAAAATGCCTTTAATCAGTCCAGCTGATATCTTCAAGAAGGGCATCAATAAAATGCTACTGCGTTGGCAAACATGCATCGATTGCTTAGGTGATTTACATGTAAAGACCTAATATCATATTTACGAAGATTTTACAAATAATCTTCGGGAGTAAAACTGGCGACGAGGTTTACCAATCGTCATATTCTGTCTCCCGAAGGGGCGAAAACGAAAACCTTGGCTACGCTGAATGTATGTCGATCAATGAATGATAAGATGGATGAAGTATGCGAAATGATGTATGATAGATGAATAGATGTGTGATGTGTAAATAAGACGAAACGGAAGGGAAAGTATACCACTTCACATGGCATGTATTATACCGCTTACTGGTCCGATGTAAGACCGAGTGGGCATGCCAGGGAGTCGGTATTATCATTTCAGAAAGAATGGGTTAATATGTGAAAGAGTATGAATGAATAAGCCCGAGTCTGCTATGAATACGAATGAAAGGGGGCTTAAAGACGTAGTTTGTTCTAGGGATGTGCGTCCCAGACATGTCTAAGTCCACTTACTTCCGAGAGTCCACTTATATCCGAGAACAGTTTTGGAAATTAGTAGGGATGGTTTAAATGAAATGCAATGGAAGAGAAAATATTGTTAATATGTTAGGAGATTTTAATGGAAGGGTTGGGGTGAAGAGGTCTGGTTATGAAAGGATATTGGAAACGTTTGGTGATGAAAGTATAAATGAGAATTGTGAAAGCCTTCTCACCTTATGTGTGGAAAATAATATTTGTTGTGACGAAAACTTTCTTTTGTTATAAGAGAAGCATGATAGCTTTCATTATTGAGTATGAAAGAATGGGGAGCAAAGCCAGAAGAATTAATATAGGGATGGATCATTACCTGGTCTTATGCCGAATTAATGGTATATTTAGACGGTAGCGGCATCGGACATCTGCTTCTAACACTGCGGTACAGCGTATTAAAATAGAAAGGTCACAAGATGAAGGTATGAAAGAGAGAAGAATGAGTGAGTTAACCGTCAAGCGCCTTTTGTATGCCGATAATTAAGTAATATTTGCGTCGTCGGCGGCCGAGTTGCAAATTATGAATACATTATTGAACAGGACATTAAAAGAAAGGGGAATTAAAGCGAAAGCAAATAAGACGAAAGTTATGGTTTTTTGAAAACGAAGAAAGTAAAACTATATGTGAAATAAGAATAAAAGGGGAGTTGGTTGAGCAAGCGGCTGAGTTTGTGTATTCGGGATATGTATTTAGCAGGGATAGTAGATATGATAAGAATATAGAACGACGAGTGAACGCAGGACAGATTAAACGCACGGCACGTATGGCAATCACAATGCTGCGTCGGTCCCTACCTTGATGTAAGGTAGTGAAAGTTATGTGAGGCAGAAGAAACATGAGAGTAGAATAAATGCTATGCTAGGTCTAAATCTGAACGACAAGTTGAGAAATTGTGTGATAAGAGAAAAGTGTGGATTAAGAAAGAAATGCTTTGGTGGTTAGTTCGTGTTGAAAGAATGAACGAGGAAAGAGTGACAAAGCAAATTTATGTTGCGGAAGTGAACGGCAGAGTCGGGAAAGGGACGCCCTAGGCGAAAGTTTTTCGACCATGTTGATCGATAACCTTCGTCTATAGCGTATATATTAAAGATGGGCCAGATTAGGAGTGCCTACCGTTAACCGACGAGCATGTATGCGTAGATATGGATGTAAAGGAGGATCGTGCCAAATGGAAGCACGTAGTCTCTGCATACCCCTCTGGGTGACGTGCGACTATTTATATTTATGTTCATTTTGCTGTTAAGTATTAAAAAATGCAAGATTTTTTGTATATAACATAAATTATGCAAAAATCTTGCATTTTTAATACTTGGAATTAGGAAATGAGACCACCAGGCAATAGAACGGTACTCACGAAATCAGTAGAAACAAAATTTGATGAGTCGATTCATTATCTAAGAAAACAGGGGTTTTCAGTATCCAAACAACAATTAAAGCAATTTTACAAAACTACGAGTATTAAACGTGTTCATAAACAAAGTCAAATATAGTTATAGTTGAATATATTTTATATAATTAATAAAACAGGCATTTTATTATCTTAATTGAATATTGTGACATCATTTTATTAGAACATTAAAATCTCCTCTAAGAAGACTGGGATTTACGAACTATTAAACTAAATAAATAGAATGGATTTTTGAACACCATTCATGAATACCATAATATATTATTATTTCTTAATGCTACATTTGTCCTTTGCATTTTTACACTCGGAATTAGGAAGCAAAATACATACATCGGAATAAGGATATTTCTATAGGTCTAAGGTGCCTCCGACTTTTTTCATATTTAGTTAATTTAGAATTCAAATCAAGATCTAATAGCCAAACCTATCGTCTATTTCAAAAATGGAAACGGTAATGGTTCTGATAAAATAGCCAAACCTTCAAAAGGGTACTAAATGATCAATTTTCGATCACTTTCCGAGTTTACATTAAAAATTCAAAAAATTCTAAACACCATTGCATGTGCTGTGTTGCACGTTAATTAAAATACCACATTTAAATAAAAGAATAGACGAACAAAGTCTAATGAAACATAAAAGTTGTAAAATTAAATAGTCGGGAAATAGGTACATGTGGTAAAATTAAAAACTGACTTCAATATAATTTATTAAGGATAACTAAAAAACTAGATCAGACCTTGATCAAATTTATATGGGACCACATGAGAAGCACCAGCTTTCAAATAAAAAAGAATCATCAAAATCGGTTCACCAAAAAAAAGTTATGAGGTAACACACCTAAAAAAACATAGTGGAATTGAATACCCCCTCCTTTTTTAAGTCGGTAGAAAAGAAGAGCAAAATCTCTCAAATTAAACGTATACAGAATATTATCACTTTGCAAAATGCTACTACTTATGTCTGAAGAATGGATTTTAGATGTTTGGAGTTATATTGTGAATGAGATAGAGGAACGCAATGATATACCTATCCATAGATTAAAGCACAGCACTGCAGTTCTTAAATGTAATATGTGACACTATTAAATCTGCAGAAAAAATTGTGAAGAATATATCCCGTCGGATCAAATACTTGGTAAAAAAATCCCAGTACTTTTACTTATAAGAATATTTGGTAAGATTACTGGGAATGCAACACGCCACAAAGGAGGTTTTGGCGGGAACTTGAAAGATAGAGGATTGCTGCTCTTGTATTATTGTTTAAATAATGGTTTGAAGTGGATTTTGATATGTAAAATT